AGGATGAGGGAGATGAGGGAGAGGAGGGGAAGTGAGGAAGAAGGAGAGGATGAGAACAGGGATGATGATGATGATGATGATGATGATGATGATGATGATGATGATGATGATGATGATGATGAACATGGTAATGCTTATGATGATGACGATTGCCACGACCACGCCGATGATGAAGAACATGAGGACGATGCAGAGGCGGACGATCACAATGATGATGCGGATGACGCGGATGACGATGATGAGGATGAGTCTGATGTTGCTTATATTGCGAATGATGGTGATGATGATGGTGATGCGGCTGATGCTGCTGCTGCTGCTGACGATGATGAGGCGGTGGAGGAAGAAGAGGAGGAGGATGGGGACGAAGAGGGAGGAGGGAAATAGACATGAGAAGTAATGCATCGCATCGCATCGCCGGCGGTACGAGAGCTGTCTGAAATATCACGGGGCGCCTTCACACCTCGTGGCGAGCATCTGGACGCATGCTCTTACATGTTTTGGATTCGATTCTCATCCTCAACTTGGGGATGGCAGGATGCGGAGGAGGAGGGGGAAGGAGTTGGAGGACAAGGAGGGGGGGGGAGGAGGAGGAGGAAGGACATAGCAGAGGAGGAGGAGGAGGAGAGGGAGGAGGAGGAGGAGGAGGAGGAGGAGGGAGAGGAGGAGGAGGAGGAGGAGGAGGAGGAGGAAGATCCCTATGCGCACTTTGTCGCGCCTGCTGAGTTGAGGGTTGGCTGGTTGGTTGATTGGTTGAGCATGCGTTGCGAAGCTTCTGGCTTCAAGCACGCGTGGGGTCGCCCAGGGGTGGGGCGGCCTTCCACGTGGTGCTATGGGTGCTGCGCCTCGCGGGCGCCTGCCCAGCTGGGGGCGCAGGCGCGCAAAGGGGGGCACCACTGCAAAGTGTGTGCCCCCGAGCGCCACGGGCGGCTTGGCTTGCGCCGGCCGCGCCTGAAAGCGCTCAGCGCGAGCGCGGCGCACCAGCAGGCCCTTGGGGTTTGTGCATAAAAATGAAGACAGTGAGCGCTTCAGGCGCTCAGTGTTTCCATTTTTATGCGCAAGCTCCCATGTGGCAGCCCGCGCCAGGAACCCGCTCCAGCAGCGGCCCGCCACAGAAGCCCACCAGAGGCGCCTGGAGGAGAGAGGGGATGCAACCGACCTGGTTCGAATTGCGCGCGGTGGCCCGCGCGGCCGCGCAATCTGTGGCCTTCCGAGAGGAGCAGACAGGCCGCGCGAGCAAACCGCGGCGATGTGCGCCAGCTGTCGGTTCGCGTCCGGCAAGGAGGCCAAGGCCGCCCGGGAAGCGCTGCGGCTGGCCGCCAGAGGAGACGGACCCGGATTCGCCATCCGGTCCGTGGCCGATGGCGTCACCGTCGCCGACGCCAACGACTTGGCGGCCGCCCGCGTCGCGAAAAAACCCGGCGCCGACAAGGCCCCCGTGGGAAGCGTCTATGCGTTGACCCCTGGCCAAGGCCAGCGCGGGCCTCTGGAACGTTCGCGCGCTCTCCCGAACCGAGCCAGGAGTGCGCGCGCGGCGCGCCGGGGTCCGCGGCGGCCGCGGCCGGGGTTCCGATCTGGGCATGCGAAGCTGGGCACTCAGGTCGTCGAGGCGCGGATGTTCGAAGGGGCGCAGTTGATGTAGCAGTCGATGGCAAGCCCTGTGGGGAGATCGCCTGTTCTCCAGTCTTTGAGAAGTGAGTACACAGAATTGAAAATCATCATAATTGCAGTTTTACGCATTTTTTTTTTTTTTTTTTTTTTTTTTTTTGTTAAAAATAAAAAAAAAAAAAGTATTAAACAAATCTTTGGTCTCCTTTGGGCGCTCTTTGGGTTCGTGGGCCCGCGGCTCGCCCTAAAGCGCGCCTGGTTTGTGGGCCAGAGGCGTCTTCGAAGCGTGGTGGTCTCTCGGGGTGCATATGGGGCGTTTACTTGGGTGTCTGCTTGTGCGTCAGGGCTCTTCAGGATTCATCTGCCTTCCTCAGGATGTATCAGA